AATAACTGTTGGAAATTATTAATTTTATTGAAGTATTGAACCAATCACTACTTCTTTCTCAAACGCTTGGCTCATATATTCTTGTTAGGCTTTCTCCACTTCGTCCTGTCCTTTACTTTTTTCCTCCAATTTATCATTCCCATTTATTCTATATCACAGCTGTCAAATTCTTCCTTGTTCGTCCCATTCTTTTCTTTCCTGATTCTCCTGTTTGCAGTACCTCAATCCCCCTGCTTAATTTTTTGTTGTTTCGAGTCTTTTATATATCTACACCACATCAACTCTTGATTCCTTCGTTTTCTTTATTTTCCTCTTCTAAACCTACAAAAAATTTTCGCACTATTTTCCTTTCCCAGATCGCCAGCGTTCTTCCTTCGTTCTGATTCATGATTCAAGTTTTGCATGCGTCTAGTAATGTTGGCCCTATAATTGTCTCATGGATTTCAAAAACGTATTATATTGTTTCTGATTGTCTGCTTCTCGATATTCAAACTCAGTTACTCTTTCAAATTTATATTTCTTCTCATTTTCTCGTAGTGTTATTCATTCATTTCCTTCTGTTAACTCCATCCTTATTTCCATATATTCGTTTTTTTCTTGGTTTATTTTCAGACCAGCTTCTTCTTTGACTTTTGCAAATACTTTTTGTTGCCTGAGAAACTTTTGTATTGCTGCCTCTTGTTCAGACTTGTACCGTTGGTTCAAATATCAGCTTCAACACTATATTGAATAGGTCAGTTGATAATGAGTCTGTTTTAATCAACTGTTGACTGACTGGCCACTGTCAACTAAGGAAACACCTCCATAATATGGGGCTAGTGGGCACACCTTTATGCAGAATGTGTGAACAGGAAGATAAAATTGTCAGGCATGTCCTATGCGAGTGTCCGGAGTTATCGTCAATAAGAGACTGTGTGTTCGGCGAGTCTTGGCCTACACCTACCGATATAAAGGAGATGTCTCCCAGCGACCTATCCACCTTTCTGGAAAGGACAGGATGGACGATGAGCTAGAAGGGCAACTCCTCAGGAGGATGTACAATGGGTCACATGTAGCCTAAGTGCTGTGGGACTACACTCACCCTCCCTACTCTACTGATACAGATGCATGTATATAAAATGTTGGGAATAACTAAAAATAGCTATACCTACTCATCAAACACAAAAATAAATATCTCTTGAACCACCAGAAAGTAAGTTTATAAATTATGATATTGCAAATGCTCTTTCGCCTGGGCTACTAGGATATTATTTCAAAAGAATAAGTTACTTACGAAAGCGTGAAAGGACTACACCACTCTAAAATCTTATTTTTTATAAACCGGACTGTACGAGGTCTGATACAGAATCATCTGTTGACAGAAATCTGGTTTGAAAAAATTCCTTTCATCATGATTTTGTTGACTGTGTCGGTTAATGTCATTCTATTTAGTCTTCAGATGAAGTTTTCTTCATCCCCCGAAGACGCCAACTTGATTAGTGAAACGTGCGTCAAGAAAAATATTGCAGTTCTGATGTTTGGGAAGAGTGCTTTTACGCCAAGGTTTCCCGTTTTACCTTTAACCTACTAGTCATTCATTGGACAACTTTTTCCGTGATATGGAGTCCTGTTTAAAATAGATAAACAACATGTGAAGTCATTATTTTTGTCCATAGCTACTGTTTTGCAATAATTTCATCATGAGAACCTGATTGGTTATCGATCTCTGTCTCATATACTTCCAATTTCATTTTTATTATTTTTTATTTTGTTGTACACTTCCTGTAATATTGCGATTCTTATATAATTTGCACAGATTATTCGATAACCTTTTTTATGTATTGGACATGTGAGTGCTTTTTTCTAATGCATTTTGTCATTTTGGCACTTTCAAAATAAGTCGCTATTTTCTTCTCTAGCCTGTTGTGTCCTGTCTTCAGTATTTCTGCTGGTATTCCACTGTCTCCCGAAATTTTACTTTTTTTTTATTGCACCTTTCACCTCATTCACTGTCGAGTCTTGTATTTGTTCTTGGAATTCTTGTCCAAACTATTTAAAACAGTCATGATTCTTGTTAGTGGATTTAAATATCAACAATATTTCATTCGGTTTGTTGTATGCACAATTTTATTGCACTTTCCACCTCATTCACTGTCGAATCTTGTATTTGTTCTTGGAATTTTCGTCCAGACTGTTCAAAACAGTTATGATTGTTGTTAGTGGATTCAAATATCAAAAATCTTCCATTTTGTTGAATAGAAATTCCAATAAATAATTTAGTTTCAATTTTTAGGTATTCGTAGATGCTTTTCATACACTGTTTTTGCGTTTGTCTCTTTAAAAAACATCTGTGAATGATATGAACAATTCAAAGTCGACTTACAAATGATGATTTCAATTTCGTAAGTTTTATTTTTATACACGCCGATGAAAATTTGGAAAAGTCATTTTTTTTATCTAAATACGAATGAAAGGCATTGTGTTTAGGACTGTTCTGAATCCTGACTGAAAAAGACTACTTTTCCACTTTCTGTACTTCTACTTATGTAAAATGACTGTTTCAACTTACCTACGATTTTTTTTATCGAGTCCATGAATCTTTTTCACAAAATGATCATCTCTGTTAGGGGATAACTTCTTCTTCTCGTGAGCATATTTAATGCTGAATTTGAATTTTTTGGTATGAAAATCACGTTCTTCTTCATCAGTGTCTTCATCACTTTTGCAGTTATCGTTCTTCTTTTGCCTCCTACCTCCCATTTTTTCACATGTTCTTTTATCTTCGAAACTGATATCTTCAACACTTCCTGAATCAGTGTTTTTCTCCACGTTGACATTTTTTTCAATACTATGGATATTTCTCAATTTTTTGTGGTTCCGGGAATTGGATTTTTGATTACCTTTCCGAGTATTTTCTTCACTTTCCACATACTTCTCTTTCAGTTTAGATTTGACTTTTTCCAAAGGTTTCTCTTCCTCAGAGGAATTCTTCGTATCTTCTTCATTTCTGGATAATTTTGGATATATCCGTCCTTTTGTTACTTTCCTACGTATTATTTTATCATTTTTTCTAAAGAAATCATTTCTTTCTTCTGAGTTGAATCGTTGTTTCTCAATATCTTCAATTTTCTTTTTCAGGTGACCCAACTTATCCTTTACAACAATTACGTTTTCGATTATTCGTTTTTTCGAACTTCTGCCAGTATCTTCTTCTTTGTCATAATGCTGTTCGAAATCATCCATCTTGAGGAAGTGTTTGGAAGTTTTCCCACCGTCTCGTTCTCTGTGAAACTTGAGCTGTTTTTTGTCGGATCTACTTTCTCTGCCATATTCATAATTTTTCATTTTATGGTTATTTTTCCAATCATTTTCTTCCTTTCCGAAGTGAAGATCTTCATCCGTATCATCATTTCCATTTTGACAACCCTTTCCTTTACATTTCTGCTTTACTTTCACTTTTTTCTCACCGACAACTCCATCAAATGGCCTATTCGGAACATTATACTTGGGCTTCGATAGAATATCGACATATTTATCTTCATTTCCTCTATAGAACTCCTTTGTTTCAATTCTTTCATTTTGTGCTCCCGCTGAATCCAAAAATATACAGAAAGCAGTCAACAGAAAATTCTGATAGACAATCCTAGAAACAAAAAATATTTATAGTCAAACTGTCTTGAGTATACACTGAGTGTCATACTATTATAGTAATGCAAATATTTCGTTCATAAATTCATAATAGAAACTAGCTATGAACATTCTGATTTATGATCAAACTACTGGGGTAAACTTGTTAAAATTAACTTCAAATCTTCAATATGGTTGATACGATGTTTATATCATTCACCTTCTAGTTCTCATGTAATTTTTTTAGAAGCTTTCGAGGATGTTTGTGAGAAGCTTGTGTCATCTAACAATCGTCTTATTCTGGTAGGCGATTTCAATTCAAACTTATTAAAATCAAACATTAACTGAGCCTTCTAGAAAGACACCAGATACACAATCATTCATAGATTTAGTTTTGACTAATAACGATAATATAGTTTCAAATGTTCATTTAACCCCAAAAATTACTGACCACTCAATAGCTATTTGCTCGAGACGATTGAGACGACTATGTTGCTTTCTTTGATGTAGCGACAAGTTTGCAATTCTTTTACTCTCAGACAATACTGAAGGAAATATAATCATGTGATACTATGAACATATATTCGAAACGAGTGTACCAACATAAAAAATCGCTATTTGAATGTACGTAGTCGGCGAAATGTGAACATACACTTTGAACAGCTCACGTATACGGAGCATCATCAAGCTTTGACTCATCACTCTTCAAATTCAAATTCCTCACGTTAAAAACTTTCAGCCAGTTATTAATAAAAAATATCATTATTATCATTACTTTATTATTACCCATTACATGCTTGTAAAACAGTAAAACTTTGGAATAGGCATTTAAGAATAATATTCGTGGATCTAGCAAAAGGTTTTGATAGAGTGTGTCACCAGAAACTCTTGAAATCCATTGAAAGTTCAGGGTTGAGCGGCAATATACAGTGTCATCATTAAAGTGCGAACCATATGGAAAACTTTTTCATCAAAAAGTTTCAATGAAGTTTAACTTCGACACTTGTTTGTGCTTTAAATTTAATTCAAAATGATGCGGCCAACTGCGACCCACTGACGTTCAGTGTTTGTCAAATTCAACTTTTTTTTCGAAAAAGTGCATTTCTAGATTGAATTTAACAAAATGTTACTTGAAAAAGTTGTGTCTACGGCAATTTTATATCCATATGCCAAATTTATTACAACTAGGATAAAGTTAACGTTTTGCTTATTTTTGACAGATATCTCCTTTATTTTGAAAAACAAGTTTGGTTAATTGTCATCAATTCATGTATACATAACAAACTCATCATGGAGTTCAACTTTTCTGATACATTTTTACTCATACGGAGACATTTTTAGAGAGAAATTAAAAATTTGCTATGAAAATTTCAACATGACTGGTGCAAAGTTTTAATTACTTGCCTATTTTCTTAAACAAACCTTCGATTTCGAAAAAGCAGAGGCAACTAAAAAAAAATGCAAATAATTTCGATAGAACTATTATTATTATTATTAATTTTGAACAACAATGATATTATAGAAAATACAAATGCGTACAAAAAATTACTCATTGATCTAAATGAGGTTGTCAAACACTTATAGCCTACATTTCAGTATGTCGTCCTCCACGTTCAAAACAAATTATGGTCCTTCTGCTGACATCTGTAACTGCATTTTTGATAAATCGGGGATTTATATTTGCACAGCACTCGCGAATGGTATTTTCCAGATGTTGTATGTCAGTAAATGGTCTACTTCGGAACACTTTTTATTTCAGGTAATCCCACAAAAAAAAGTACAAAGACGTCAAGTCGGGTGATCTAGGTGGCCAATAATGTTCCCAGTTACGTCCAATAACTTTGCCTGTGAACATTTGTTGGAGGGACTGTTTTACAGCAACTGTGTGATGTATTGGTGCGCCATCAAGCTGATACCATAGGTCGTATTTAATATTCAAAGGCATATTATCTAAAACTTTCACTAACCTCATTATTTGAAAGGTTGAGATAACCAACGGATGATAAATTTTCCCTAAAGAAAAATGGCCCAATTATTTGGTCGTTAAGTATACCACACCATACTTTAGTTTTAAAGGAATACTGATCACCACATGCAACTGTGAAATTGAGATTTTCTTGGGCCCACCATCGGCAATTTTGAGAACTTACCGTTCCATTTGAAGAGAACGTTGCCTCATCTGTCCATAAAATTTTATACGGAAACTTTATTCTCTCTCTCATTGAAACCAGAATGAAAACCCCAAAAGGACATTGTGAAATTGAATATTGAAATTTTAATGTAATTTCAACTCTAGTAATTTTATTAATAGGTACTTATTGCAGTTTTTGCGTTGTGTCTGCTTTTTCAAAATTGAAGGTACTGACGTGTGTTTAAGAAAATAGCCAAGTGATTGAAACTTTGCATCAGTCATGTTAAAATTTGTATAGCACATTTTCAAATTCTCTCTAAAAATGTCCGTATAGGTGAAAATTTATCAGAAAAGTTAAACTCCATGATGAGTTTGTTATGTATACATGAATTGATAATAATCAACCGAACTTGTTTTCTAAAATAAATGGGATATCTGTCAAAAATAAGCAAAACGTTAACTTCATCCTAGTCGCATAAAATTTGGCATATGGATATAAAATTGCCATAGACACAAATTTTTCAAGTAACTTTTTGTTAAATTGGATCTAGAAATGCACTTTTTCATTTTTTTTCAAAAAAAAATAAAGTTGAATTTGACAAACACCGAACGTTAGTGGGTCGCAGTTGGCCGTATCATTTTAAGTTAAATTTAAAGCACAAACAAGTGCCGAAGTTAAACTTCATTGAAACTTTTCAAGAAAAAGTTTCCCAAATGGTGCGCACTTTAATGGTGACACTGTATATGAACTGATGAAATGTTATCTAGAAAGAAGAAAGCAATACGTAAAAATCAACGGCAGACTCAGTTACTTTGAAACTGTGGAATTTGGAGTCCCACAAGGTACAGTACTGGGCCTCATTTTATTCAACCTAAATGATTTAAAGAATGTTGATACAGAAGGTCGCATAATCAGCTTCACGGATGACACGGCAATCTTCTATTCTGGTGAAAATTGGCAACAGTTGTTTAACAGAGTCGAGAAAGATTTTTTCAAAATAAAACAATGAATCGACTCCAAATTACTCACTATTAATTTCGATAAGACAAAATGTCTTTCGTTTTCAATCATCAAAACCAATTTCCGGATATTTCACATCTATCAATCACCGACAATAATAACACCTTCATTATACCCATAATCAAAAACATAAAATACTTGGGAGTCTACTTAGATAGTCACATGAAATGGGACACTCACATAAAAAAGCTCACTTTCAAATTGAGAAGCCTCATAGCAAAGTTCAACTCGGAAGCAGGAAATGCTACTCCGTTTTCCTTCCACTCAACCCCAAAAATACCTTCCTATACCAAAAAAATATAATCGAATGAATGAGGCCAATCACAACTAAATAAACCTCGATACAAATATTATTCATGAGCTCCAACGTTCTAACCAGCAGCTAGTTTAAAACGAAGTGTTCACATATAGTCAGTGAGTATACTTGAAGACTGGCTATAAATCAAATCATCTTAAAGAACAATTCATTCATACCTACACTGTAGTTTTATGGCCTGACACCCATCAGAAAACAACTATTCCCCTGGCTTATACCACGAAGGGCGTTGGATTATATCCGACACGTGTCAGTACAGGATTCTTCACTGCTATTGGTGATACAACTGCCGCCATAGATTTTCAATTATTGGATGAAAATAAAAAAAATAATTTTCAAATACCTTATCTAATTCAGTTTATTATTTCATCAGGTAATACGTTACTAGTCAGAAAAAGTTAAGGTACAAAGGTATATACATTTTAGCTATTTTCATTTCAGGTACTTAGGTTGTTTCGGTACATTGCAAAATTTATCAAAGAAATCAACGTAGGGCTGGTATGAAACAGTACCGATGTGGAACGATTCGGATGTCACTGACGTGAAATGATTTTGGTGTGAAGGATCATATAATACAAGTAGGAAATATTGGGAATCATTCTTCATCATCCATTACGTGGTATAGACGTTTCGGAAGTTCATCTTCTTCATCGGAGTCATCGTCATTCAACCTGCGAAACAATTGAAAATTTATTATTGAACTCAATCACAGATGCATGACAGCAGTTAGGCCAGTTAAACTACTGTTACATTTGCAATTTATACATGATTGTGTTACGACTCGCAATGAAACTCGAACTGACTTAGAATATATTGAAGAATCTTTATCTTGTTACCTTTCAACGTTACATAAGTGGGACATTTTCAACAATTGCTAACTTTCAAACAAATAGAAAGTCAAAATTATCTTCTCCCGGAAACAGAGGCATAAGTAAGAGGTCGAAGTAAAAAAAATGTCTGCGGAGAGAAAACTATTAAAATCCTTCAGTTTCATCTATATCCACATATACTTATCGCACAGCTTCCACATTTTTCCTAGAATACTTTCCAACCCCATATTCAATATTTTATTGATTTTTCCAATTAGCTTTTACAAAATCATTTGTCGAACGAGTGTACAACTCATACATTCATTTCTACCTTTGAATATATAAAACATAGAAAGGTTCAATAATGACCAGAGAAGTCAGCAAATATCAATAATTCGTTCATGGATGTGCATATTTTATTCATTTATTCCCAGATTCTGCTTGTAGTAGGGGCGTTAAAATACCCCTGCCCCGTAGAGGTACGAGTCCTTCCTAATGACAGCCTCATCCTAAAGAGTGTATATCCGTATCGATAAGTCGTATGGCTCTGAGTCTACTCATTGTCACTAACGGAACCTTGGAGATACCAGGTGCTCTCATCTTAGAAACTGTCTGCCGTGATGGACATCCTCTCTCTAGCTTCTACTTCTTCATGGACCTTAAAGTTATCGTAGAATTCGACACTCAAGTCTATAGAGGAGACGGATATTGACTGAATCATCCCAATTTTCTAACATGT